TGAAAAGGCAGAGTATCTGCTTAAGTGTCTAAAATACGTGTTTTTCAATTGTTCAAACTTCTGTCTCACATTGTGTTCATTTTAAGATCCAACTTAAGCCAGGTACCAGTGGCACACGCCTGTAATCCTAGCTACTTAGGATTATGCTTCAAAGTCAGCCCAGCAGGAAACTCTGTGAGACTCTTCTCTCCAATTAACCACCAAAGAAGCCACAAGTGGATCTGTGGCTCAAGTGGTAGAGGGTTAGCCTTGAGCAAAAAAGCTCAGGAACAGTGCCCAAGCCCTGAGTTCAAGCCTGAGGACCAGCACATGCATTGCATGCCTCCTTTCTGGAGGCAGGAAGACTTTAAATATAAAAATCACAAACTTTACAAAAAGGAAATGTGTACTAATACCCAATGGAATTCTACACAGACATTAGAAAGAATAATGCTGTGTCATTTGCAGGAAAGTGGATGGACTTAGAACAAATCATGTTAAGTGCGGTAAGCCAAGCTCAGAGAGACAACAGCACATGTTTTCTCTCATATGCAGAAGCTAGATCTAAAATACACCGAGACATGATAAATTATACATGACTCAAGTCATTCACACTCAGAGAGACCAAAGGAGGATACTCTTAAGGAGGAACACAAAGGCGTAATGCTTCTGTAACTCTGATCATATGAGATATTATTTATTGAAATGAATTCCAGGCATTAGGGGAAAAAAGAAAGCCAATCAATGAAGGTAAAAAAAAGTTCTGGGTTGGAGGTGTAACAATGATAAGTGTGTGTGGTTAACATGTATGAAGTCCTGGATTCCATTCCCAGGACCAAAGCAACAGTGTGCACACCACACACACACACACACACACACACACACACACACACACACAGTACAACTCAAATCACAACAACAAAAGCTCTGGCTCTGCCTCAGTCCTCTCTGTCAGAGCTCTCCCTGGAGCACCTGTGGGTATCTCCTGTGTGCCTGCTGCCAGAGGATGTAGGGTGATTCCATCATTCTTGCCCATAGGAAGCTCAGTCAAGAGAGGGAGAGCCAGACATAGCACCCACATGCTGAAAGGTCTTAACTAGAGGAGGGATTGTGGAGGGGACACGGGAAGGCATGCCGGGAAGGGGTGCCTAACTACCTCTACCAGTGGGGGTACAGACATTAAAAGAAGGGCAAAGGCAGCAGGTGAGGAAGGGACTGGAAGGGTGTTGAACTTTGACACGTGCTGAAGTCTTGAATGGCAAAGGTCAAATTCATCCATTAAGACTTTGTAAAGGAAATACCATCTTAACTTTTTTACCAAGTGGGAGATTAATATTTTAAAAATATGACTTATAAGCCATTTGTAGTCCTATGTGTATTATGAGGGTTAGGCAGTCTCGAAATCTCATGAGGGCAATGGTAGCTTTCCATTTTGCCAAATGGCAGAGGTATGTGGGGAAAACAATATTCTGTAGCACTTCCAGGTTGTTTATTTGAATTAGGGGTTTAACTTTTTTGTGTGATTTAGCAATCTGGTAAGATATATGGATTCTTCTCCGAGTATGAAATAAGTAAGATGTAAATGTATTAAATAAAGTATAAAGGATGACAAAGGTACCTGGCTAGAGTTGTTAAAATATTAAATTTATGATGAGTAAAATATATATTTATGCAAATAAGCTGTAGTAGCAGAGCTAATAATTACCATGATTTTTAAATAATGACCAGAGGAATGAAATCTAGGCATATATGTTATAATGTCGTGTGAATGACACAAGATTTTCTGTGATTATCTTTAATGACCAAGTCCTACATATTCCCACTACTTCAGTCTGCAATTATCTTTAATGACCAAGTCCTACATATTCCCTCTACTTCAGTCTGCAGTCTAGTCATAACCCGAGGCTAGTAAAAAGGAGTATTCATTTTCATTCTCACTTGAGTTCATAGGTGAATTATATAAAGAATCCAGAGCTTAGGTGGCAACCTTTCCCTATAGTTTGCCTTATGGGCCAGGTGAGAGGAAGCTTAAGATAAGATGAATGAAGACGCCTTCCTGTCCCCACTCACATGTAAGCCTTGTAGTTGTTGCCAATCTTCTGGACCCGGATATCGTACTTGGCATCAATGAACGGCTCCGCTGTAGCGTATGTTTGGGTGAGGGCCACCACACTAGCGATGTCCTGGAAGTCATAGTGGTTTTCCACTTTGACCTAATGGTGGGGCAGAGAGGGGGAAAGAGCCACATACACATATACACACTAAGAGGTCACAAGGGCAACCCCTCCTTCTCTGGCATCCCTCCCTAAGGTGCAGCAGCCAGGCCTGCAGCCAAAGACCCAAGGGACTGGCCAGATGGCTTGTACTCTGCTTGTGGAAAGGGGTATGATGGCAACATTCCTCCCCTCCACATAGAGAGGAGAGTGCTCCATTTATGGAGTTTCTGGAAAATGCCTTTCCCGGCATTGAAGGGCTTCCTGCTTACCTTGCCCATGCCTGAGTGAGCGTGGCCAATCTTCACCACCACAGGGAACGTGGGCAGCGTCAGCTGAAAGCCGAGAAGGAAAGAAAGGATGGGTCAGCGTGGGCCTGTCTCTAGGGAGTCCTGTGAGTATTTTTCCTGAGAACAACCTTGGAGCATTCTTAAGAGAACTAATCCAATCTACTTCCTTATAAACGAAACGGAGCTCACAGAATGACAGTGGCCTGCCCAAGGTCACAGCATGTTACAGACGCAGCTCTGAAGCTTCCATTCTTCTGTTTGGTACTCTCTACATCTCTCTGGGTCTGCATTATATGAACCCTGGGCAGGGCTGGATTACCACTGAAGAGATTGAACAACAACAACGTATCTTTGAAAGGGTTAACTTTCACTGAAGGCAAAAGTGTACCCTAACCAGCCTCAATCTTTTGGACATACCTTTAGCATGTTAATGTGCCTCTCCATACCCATCTCCTTCCAACATCCAGCTTTCCTGTGCTGAGTTGGGCTGCCCTCTCCCTCATTCACACTCTCCCCTGAAACTCACGGCAAAACACAGCTTAGCAGCTTGGTATACTAAGGCCTGCTTCCATCCAGTGTGGGGTTTGGAGGAGAAACAATGTAAGAACTCAGTATAATTATCCTTTGGAAGGCCTTCTTAAAGTAAACTCTTTATGGTAGCTCAAGAAAGAGGAACAATAAAATCTAAAGGCAGAATTTAAAGGTGGAATTACCCTTCACAGACAGGGTTTCAAGCTGCAACAAAATGCAGGTGGAAGAAGTAGTAGGGTGGAGGAGGAGGCACACCACACGCTGGGACACATGGCTTCGCGTGTCCCAACAACTTTCCGTAAGTTACTTTGCATCAATGAGCCCCAGCCTTTGTGTTTCTCAAATGAGACTGAACTGAATGCTTTAAATAACAACCTGCCTTGGTTTGGACTGTATAAAGAACCAACTTGCACACCAACTTGGCCCTGTCATCTTCTCAGCCTGACTCAGTTCTCTTTTGTTTGTCAAACGTCACTAGTACTGTCCCAGGAAAGGCATCCTCTAAAGAAAACAAGGCTGACTCTGGTGACAAGTCAGATTCTCATGGAAGGTAGGTGTGACGAGATGTTTGGGAGAATCTGACTTGAGGACTTCAGCACTCCTGGCCGAAGCCAATCCAGGCTGTGGGAAAGACTCGCTTTAGAAATAAATCATGTAGGGCTGGGAAGGTAGCTCAGTGGTAGAGTGCTTGCCTTGCATGCCTGAGGCCCTGGGTTTGATTCTTCAGTACCACATAAGCAAAAAGAAAAAAGCCAGAAGTGGTGCTGTGGCTCAAGTGGTAGAGGGCTAGCCTTGAGGTAAAGAGCTGAGGGACAGCGCCCAGGCCCAGAGTTTAGGCCCCACGACCGGACTAAAAAAAAAAAAAGAAAGAAAGAAATCATGTACTTCAGAGCTGAGGATGAAATCTGGGGGGTAGGGCACTTGCCTGCCATGATTGAGGCCCTGGGCTTGATCTCCCAGTCAGAAAGGAAAAGGAAAAAATAGTTCAATATTATTTTATGAAGAACAACTTATGAAGGTCACAGAACTGTCCAGTGATAGGATCAGAGTCTAGCCCACCCCTGGGACACCTGCAGCTGGAATGCTACGTCTCTCAGCAGACCCCTGTGCCCTGTGCTAACCAACAGTGGGCCAGGCTTGCTTCTTGGTTTTGATCTGGCCTGCCTTCTACATCACCTCAGTCTCGGGGTGCGGGGGGGAGGGGGAATGTGGCAGTGACATGCATTAAGAATCAATGTAGCCCAGGGCGTGGACACAAGGCTTTGAGTCTGCCCACTGAGAGCACTGCCTCTGCTATCTGCAGACTGAAGGCCGGGCTGGGAGCAAAGTGTTTCTAAAACTCTGGCTGCCTCTCAGACATCCCTCCCAACCCCCCAGCTGACAGAGCCAAGACACACACACACACCCCAACTTTCTCTGTCCTATTCCCCAACTGTTTGCTGCTGCTTTGGAGCCTCATAAATAGGGCATTGAAAACACTTCCTGCAGCTGAAAGGAGGCCTGAGTAGCCTGTCTCATTCCCAGCGTGCAGCCCAGCGAGGAGTCGTCCTTCTCTGTCACCGTCTCTTTGCCTGTTATAATTCTGCCTGCCTCTCTCTGATTTCAGCATGTCTCTTCCTCTCTGTCTGTGCCGCTCCTCACTGGCTCCTCCTGTGTGAATGGCAGTACCTCCATCTTTCTGCTCATGCATGGCTCCATTGCTCTCGCTGTCTTCCTGCCCTGGACACCATCCCCTCTCCCAGTGCCTTCCCTCGGTTTCTAGAGGCCTTAATTGCTCAGACTCTCCAGGCTTTGCTCTTCAGTTTAGTCTGTCGGTCAGGAGGACCTCAGGTCCTACAGCCATGGGTGGGCCTATAGCCAAAGGAGGGCGGAACCTATCTGAGAGGGACTGGTCCTAGAACCCCCTCATAAAGCGTGGGCAGAGGGCCACAAGGCGTTCTGGAGGAGCGGTTTCCACCACCAGACTTAGAGGGGGCTCTGCAGTGTCATGCCCTGGAGCCCCTGGGCACTGCTGCTGCTGCGGCTACTGGCAGTGCTGTGGCCACCGGGGCTGGGTGAGGCGTGCAGCTGTGCCCCTGCCCACCCCCAGCAGCACGTCTGCCACTCTGCACTTGGTGAGTTGAGGCCCACGGGGTCCTCAGCAGGGGTGGCTGTGGGAGGACTGGTGTAGGACTCTGGAGCAGAAGTCTAAAGGGAAAAGGTGCCTTCTGCTGAGGCTGATTTGTAGGGAAATAAAGGCTGTGAGAGGACCATCCACGGCAACCCCCTCAGCTCCACCACACTGCAATTGCCCAGTATCAGTGTATGAGATGTCACTGGGGTTGTCCGGTTACTGCTCAGAATGACTGGAATATTGAATATGTATGTGTGTGTGCGTGCACATGTGTGTGTGTGCGCGAGCCTGTGAGGGAGAGGGGTATTTTGTGTGTGTATGTGTTATTGCACTGTAGTTTTTTTGTTTTGTTTTGTTTTTGCCAATCCTGGGGCTTGAACTCAGGGCCTGGGCACTGTCCCTGAGCCTCTCTGTGCTTAAGGCTAACACTTGACTATTTGAGCCACAGCACCACTTTTGGCCTTTTCTGTGTATGTTGTACTGAGGAATGGAACCCAGGGCTTCATGCATGCTAGGCAAGCACTCTACCACTAAGCCACATTCCCAGCCCTGCATTGTAATACCTGTCTCTGTCCAGGCCTATAACTGAGGTTGCCAACCAGGATGCACTTCAACACACACGTTTTGCCTTTCCGTTCCCTGCCTTCTTATCATTAAATTCCTGGTGAGCTACTATTCAACTTCTAATGCCTGCCTCGGGTCTCTATTTCTCTAAAAGCTTCCTGACTGCTTGGTGTTACCACAGCATCTCTAATCTTTGTGCTGCTACTCTGCTGTGCTATTGTTCTTTACATGTAAGTCCTCCTCTAGACCAAGAATTCTGCAGGATGGGACCCCTGTCTTAATCACACTTGGGAGGTCCTGTGGTAGCATAAAGCCAGACACAGAAAAAAAACTTTCATACATAATTTTTATGTTTTAGCAATGATTTATTTTAGTATAACGGGAAAAATGAAAAACATGGAGAAACATTTACTGCTCCCCATGCAAAGAAAAAAATGGAAGCAAAGACTCCTAGTTTTGAATAATGCCCAAGTGGCAAGAACTGAACTTCCTCAGTGTAGGATCAGGGTGTTTTTTAATTCAATTAACATATTAACACAATTTGGGGTGCGCTCTGAGCCTCTGAGCTATCCAAGCAGATGATCCTCACCCCTTCTACCCTGGCTCTATCCTCTTGATTACTACACCCAGAACTATGGAGAGCCAGATCTTTCCAAACTCATGGATTACAATGGCCAAAAAAAAAAAAAGCACTGAGGTTGAGGATCTAACAACCCTGAGGGGTTTGGAACCCGGAATGACAGGAGAGCAGGAGTTTCCAGCCCCCTGCTCTCAACCCAGTAATGCCTCAACCAGGAACCCCCAGAACCCCCACATCATCCCTATCTCAGGGTCATCACCCCCACAAGGGCTGAAGGCTCCCTCTTTTCTCTTTCCATGCAGTGATTCGGGCCAAAATCTCCAGTGAGAAGGTAGTTCCTGCCAGTGCAAACCCTGCTGACAGTGAAAAGATGGTGCGGTATGAAATCAAACAGATAAAGGTACATGGGGGCAGGACAGGGCCATGACCCTCGGGGGCTGGTGGGAGGAGAGGGGCACTCCAGCTCTGTGCTCCTCTGGAATCTGACGTGGAACTAGATGAGAGGTTGGAGACAGGCCTATGGAATCCAAATGACACAACAGGACAGGACAAGACAGGATGGGCCTTCATGTCCACATGGCCCTACATCTGTTTGTACACAGGATCACTAGGTACCTCCCTCTCAATGAAATCTATCGAGGTTTAGCAATTTTTTAAAGACAGATACAACTTGGTAGAGCTATCTGTTTACCATTGGTATGCCAACTAGCATTTTGCCTCATTTTTCAGACCAAGAAATGAGACACTTTTGTCTGTTAATACACATTTATGCTCATTGACCTGGTATTTCTCTTTGTAATTGCCTTTCAGATGTTTAAAGGGTTTGAGAAAGTCAAGGATGTTCAATATATCTATACACCATTTGACTCCTCACTCTGTGGAGTGAAACTAGAAGCCAACAGCCAAAAGCAGTACCTGCTGACTGGTAAGTTTTAGGCAGAAATTGCCTGAGAGTCTGTCCTAAGAAAGTTAGTAAGACAGAAGCCAGGGGCTTCTTTGAGTAGCAGGTTGAGTCCAGTGGCATTTTCTTAGACATAAAACAGAGCTGTGACTTTAATCAACTAACAAGCTCCATTCAGTTCATGAGTCTATTAGAGTGATCTTGCCACTTAGTTACTATATGAAGAATAAGTCTAGGGTGGCTAGTTTCAACAGGAAATGGTTTTAATTGGTGTAAGATTTTTGGCACGAAAGTCAAAATCTGCTCTCTGAAGCTGCTTCTTACGTGTTTGTTTACAACTCTACCATTTGCACATGCCCTAATGTGAAGACTTGAGTCTACCACAGTTCTCCATGAACTTGGGCCCAGGCAAGCTTCTTCCACACTGGATTGCTTGCGATAGAACGTTAAAGCGACACACAAGAATCTAACTCGGTGAATGAATGAATATAACACTGCGTGATATTGGAACTCGGGGAAAAGAGTTATTTGTAGGGTTGTGAACAATCAGGGAAGTTTCACTATGGAGGGAAGGAGGAAGGGAGGGAGGGAGGAAGGAAGGAAGAAAGGAGGGAAGGAGGGAAGGTAAGGAAGGAGGAAGAAAGGAGGGAGGGAGGGAGGGAGGGAAGGAAGGAGGGAGGAAGGAAGGAGGGAAGGAGGGAAGGAAGGAAGGAAGGAGGGAAGGAGGGAGGGAGGGAGGGAGGGAAGGAAGGAGGGAGGAAGGGAGAGAGGGAAGGAAGGAAGAAAGGAAGGAAGGAAGGAGGGAAGGAGGGAAAGAGGGAGGGAGAAGGGCTGGCAGGCAAAGATTGGAAGGAGCTTGATTGCTAAAGCAGGAGAACTTTCCTAGAGGGAAAGATTCACCAAGGTAAGCATCCATAGGACAGGAGACTAGTAGGTTAGGTAGTGGGAAAGACTGGAAAAGGGAAGGGAACCTATTTTTAACATCTTCTTTTAGCCTACAACAGTATAGGGAGCTCTATAGACATTCTCTCACTTCCTCTTGACAACAATATTATTACTCCTACCCCCGAGGCTCAGAGGTTATGTGACTTTCTTTAAGGTAACACAGCTAGAAATGATTAAAAAAAAAAAAGGGAGCCCCACTCAAAGTTAGTCTCTCTCTTTCTGCCTTCTCCTCTCTCTTTCCCTGTCTCTCCTCTCTTCTCTCTCTCGCCCCCTCCTCCCCTCCCTCCCTCCTTTTGCAATGCTAGGTATCAAGATGAGGCCTCATGCATCCTAAGCAAGCACTCTATGACAGCTACAACCCTGACCCTCCAGTCTGATTTTAATACCACTTTCTCTTCACCATAGTGAAAGAAAAGGATCCCACAATTCTACCTTTTACAAACAGAATGTACTGGTCTCCTTGCTATAAAAAGTCATTTGTTTTTCTGTCCCTTCATTGAGCCCCATTTCCCCACTGCCACTAAAAAGGCTTTGGGGGGCTGGGGTAGACTTGTGGCAGAATATATGCTTAGCATGAGTGAGGCCCAGGTTCAATGCCCAGGACAAAAGCAAAAGTCAACAAGTACACAGGCAATCAAGTAGCAGCTGTCTGGGGCTTTGTAGAGACTCGAGCTCTAAGAACAGACTCTTCTGTCTTCCCACAAAGGCCAGGTCCGTGGTGATGGAAAAGTCTTCATCCATCTGTGCAATTACATTGAGCCCTGGGAGGACCTGTCCTTGGTGCAGAGGGAAAGTCTGAATCATCACTATCTTCTGAACTGTGGCTGCCAAGTAAGGGAATGTCATTTCCAAGGTCTTTTGGGGGGCAGGAGAAAGGTCTTGGGCCTTGTAACCCCATCCTTTGTGTCTTTTCTCACTCAAATGTATAAGTATGACTTACTATGCTGTATTTGACATGTGACGTAGACGCTGGGCTGGGAAAGCAACAGACTCCATAGTCCCCCATCTCAAAATACTTCGGTTTTAGCTGAGAATGCAGCCACCATGTAAAGCAGACGAGATGACATTAACATAGCCACCATTTAAACAGAGTCTAAGCTGGGCTTGGTGGAGCACACCATAATCCCACCACTGAGGAGGCTGAGGCGGGAGAATCACAAGTTTAAGGCCAATCTGGGTGACACAGTGAGACCCTGACTCAAACAACAACAATAATGTAATTCTGACTTAAACAAACATAATGCATTAGTCCCAACAATAATAGTAACAACAACGCACAAGAAAAATCAACAGGGCTGGGAAGGTGGCTCAGTGGTAGAGTGCTCGATTCCAATGCATGAGGCCCTGGGTTTGATTCCTCAGCACCACATAAGCAGAAAACGCCAGAAGTGGCACTGTAGCTCAACTGGTAGAGCACTAGCCATGAGCTGAAGAGCTGAGGGACAGCGCCCAGGCCCAGAGTTCAGGCCCCACGACCGGCAAAAAAAATAAAAAGAAGAAGAAGAAGAAAGAAAAATCAACAGAGGAACAGAGGGAGAGGGAGAGGGAGACTAAGACTACACTCTGCAGGCTCTGTGACAGTCAATTTATTGTAAAATTTCAATTTAGTCTCTACAAGAAATTTGTGAAGAATTATTATTTCCATTTAAGATAAAGAAAAGAATGCTCTGGGAAGAGAAACTACTTGCTCAAGGTCAGCCACGTAGGGCTGATCCCAGAGATGACTTATATAGTGATAGTATTCATAGGGAGCATGGGGGAGAATTCAGAGGTCAGTTTGGGGACTAGAAAAGGGTTCCTAGACAAGGGCAGTTGACATGGTCTATGTGGACATACGGGAGGCAGCGATATATGAGAGGCAGCGATGAAAAATGAAGTGCCTTCTACTCACTTTGATGATGTGCTGTCATGACTAGATCACCACGTGCTATTCAGTGCCCTGTACCATCCCGGCCTCCAATGACTGCCTCTGGACAGACTGGCTGTTGGAACGGAAGCTCTATGGGTACCAGGCCCAGCATTACATCTGCATGAAACATGTTGATGGCACCTGCAGTTGGTACCCGGGCCACCTGCATCTCAGGAAGGAGCTTGTTGACATCATCCAGCCCTAGTAGGAAATAGTGACTGCCTCAACCCTTCAAGAGTCCTGAAGACCAAAACCTTTCTCTTTTCCCCTGTGGCGCTCTGACCATCACCACCTGCTCTGATGCTGCTAACCAACAGAAAGTAACAAGCGGACGGCCAGACCAGCATCATGGCAGGGATGGACCATGTTACAGCTTGTGTCTAAGCCTCCAGCCCGCAGCCTGGGGGCTGAGGAAGGTAGCATGCTTTTCCAACTTGCCCTCAGACCTTCTCCTCATATCCCACGCCCCACTTGCTATCTTAGTACTGCAAGTTTGATTCTGGCCTAGTTTACCTTTCAAAGCCAGAGCTATTCTCTTTTCTCTTCAGGAAAATGTGGTTTTCTTTTTCTTAACTGATACAGTAGGGGAGAAATGGAGCCTAAGACACCCTTGAGATGAACAGCCTTGGGATGTATACTAGCAGAGGCAGTTGACAGAAATGAAATGAACAATATACTATGACTGTATATCCTTTACTCCCACCCCTTCAACTCATCTTAATACTCTAATACATTTTTATCTGCTTGGGAGTGGCTAAGAGGATTCAGACAGTCTAACCCCACTCCCTGGGCTGCGAACCTAACTCTACACCTGGCAGGCCCAGCCCAATTAGCACCCTTCTTTGAACAAAAGTAGACTTACTATCTAAGAACAGACGTTTTTCACTTCAGGTTGAAGAGCCTCTAATGCCCTCACATGATGTCCGCATGGTTTCTCTGCTGCCTCTTTTAGGTTAGTAATGTCTTAATTCCTACTTCACCTTTTTTTTTCAAACTAAAGAAGCATTTATCTTGTAGAGCTGACATCCCCCATGCATCCACTTTGAACACCTCTTCTCTTGAGGATAGAGGACAAGAAAGAAACAACATCTTTTCCCCTAGAGGGAAAAGACGCTCGAGGAGGAGTCCACCTTGTACTTGTTGCTATTTTTCGGTGGTCAGGTCTGCAAGGTATTAGAGGAGAAAAAGGCCAGCTCTGACCCTGCCGCGTGGAGACCCTCCACCTTTCAGCTCAGTCTCCTCACCACCGTGTCTTGGGCTGTCTGAAAGCTCAGACAGATGTGAGGGCTCCTCAGCCTCTGCATGCCTTTTTGGCTCACCCTAGATGGAAAGCCATAGTGCTGACACCCACGATTCATAAAGGACAAAGGCTTAAAATCCCAAAGCTTCTTTCTGGGGAAGTTCTGGCAAACATAATGGAAACTGTCTTTCTTTCTTTCTTTCTTTCTTTCTTTCTTTCTTTCTTTCTCTCTCTCTCTCTCTCTTTCTTTCTTCCTTTCCTTCTCAGTTGTCATCTTCTATTCAGCAGGACCATGTACAAGGTGCCAGAAGGAGGCTCTGGATACACAAAAGTGCTAAAAATGGAGGGGAACAAACATGCTCACCATCCCAGAGCACAACACTTGGCAGGCTTTATCAGGGAGCTGTCCCTGGCGGGCTAAGCAGGGTCACACCAGTCTTGGGCAGAGAGTATAGAGATTGGAAAGATGAAAACTTGAGCCCCAGGTTGCTCTGGCAGGAAAACATTAGCAATGATCTCCTGAACAACAGCCATCCTATCTCTGTCTCCTGATCCTTCAGGGACTTGGGAAGCAGTGTTATCCCAGCAATATCACTGTGTGAAGGTTAGACAAGGGAGGAGAGGTCTGGAAGTAACAACAGGAGAAATAACTTGTATCTCAGGTGTGATACACATTCCTAGAAGGTTTTTACTTTAATTTTGTGCATACCATATTAGATACCCTGGGGAAGGACAGTTATGTCCACCGGACTGTCTGCTTGAGAAATTGACACACAGCACAGGAAGAATGTCACTTGTCCAATGACACACAGCACGGCTGGAGGTAAACCCAAAGCAATGAGATCTTCTGACTGTTGATCCACAGGTTTGCTACTCTCAGACTGAGTAACCTGCCCTTGTTTCTGCTGTTTCCAATTTTATCTCCAGAACACAAAATCAAGAGACTTTAGTGAAAACTGAGATTTTCTAGCCCTACAAAGTAGCTTTACAATGACACCCCAGTAGGCTGGGCCTCTGAGTTCCTGTGCAGGTAGGCTCGGAGGGTGAGGAGCAGAGACGCAGGTACTCACTCAGATACCTACCATCTCTTTGTGGTTGGGGTAGTATGTCTGCTCAATGAGTGGGAACTTCTCTCCTCCTAGTGTTTTGTAGATGGCCACCATCTGGGCAAACTGCAAAATAGAAGAAAGCATTTTCGGCTTCGCTAAGACAACTTCTGGAACAGAAAGACAAAGAATCAGTTCATCAATTATTGAGCATTTGCTCTGTAGAGATCAAGTATGTTGAAGATATTTGACAAGTATAGAAGGCAAGCACTGTAGTTCACACCTGAACCTTGTGCTCAGATGCTGAGCCAGGATGTCTGTAAATCTGAAGCTAGCACAGGTTACACAGTAAAACCATTTTTTCCTCCCTCTTTTCCTCCTTCCCTCCATCCCTTTCTTTTTTTTTAAATTTCACTCTCCTCTCCTCCTCTCACAAGTAACATGTCTTAACATTCTTTGATTACCTACTTAATTTTAGTTGTTTCTCATTAAATCCTCATATCAAATTGATGAACTAGGTGCGCTATCATCTTCATTTTATGGATGAGGCTCTGAGAGAGTAGTAAACCTAACTAAAATCACAGAAATGAGAAGAGGTAAGACTAAGATTGGAACTAGGGACTCAAAAAAAAAAAAGTAAGAGTAAACTCAGGGTTCAAACCCTAAATAACTGCTACTGTAAACAGTGGCATGAGACAAAGCTAAAGAGGTAACATGGGGCAAGTGTTGGAAGCTCAATGCCAGGCAAAGAAACAGCCGCTTCCCTGTGAGCTACAGTCACCAGCGTGTGAGCAGGGTGCATCATGAGTAAACTGTTCTTCAGATCTGGGTTATAGAGTACACGGAAGACAGACCCACCTTTGGGGATCTGATTCATTCATTCAAAGAACTGACTAGAGGGGGTGGGAAGGTGGCTCAGTGGTAGAGCGCTTGCCTTGCATGCATGAGGCTCTGGGTTCGATTCCTCAGCACCATATAAGCAAAAAGAAAAAAGCCAGAAGTGGCGCTGTGGTTCAAGTGGTAGAGTGCTAGCCTTGAGCTGAAGAGCTGAGGGACAGCACCCAGGCCCCGAGTTCAGGCCCCACAACCAGACCAAAAAACAACAACAATAACAACAACTGGCTAGACCCTTCACCTATGAGAAAGAGGTAGAGCTTCAAGGAGCATAGGTAAAGAATACATACTTACAGTGTTAGGGCTGGGGGGCCACTGGTGTACATCCAACATTCCATGGTACTTTATAACTGCAGAACCAAAGGGACAACTGCCCAATGTCACATAGCACTTGAACTAGATTCATAGGCAGGTCCCTTCTGAAACACTCCAACTGCTCCAAATAGCTGCTTGTCAGTTCCACAAGCCATGTTCTTCCCACAGGAAAAGGGGCCGTACACACTACCCACGTATCTCATGCCACCATCCCCAGTGTCCGGGCAACAAGACAATACTAGCATCTTCTCCCTAGAGCAATTAGATTTGTTCACCCTCCATGACACCAATAGCTGGAACTACTAGAAGGGAAAGTTGTCACAGCTCTACTTATCAGAGAAAGGAAAAGCTAGAACATTTTACAAACACTTCTGTCCTATTCTCTGTACGGATTGTTGGCAGGTGGGCCAGGCAGGGCATGAGTAGGAGTGGAGAAAGCTCAGAGCTGGGATGTTAAGAAAGGGGAGTCTTCCAATTCCTGTTCTTCCTCCTAACTTGATAGATGTCCTTAGCAAAAGATTTCTCCTTTCCAAGCCACATTTTCTTCATAAAAAAGAAAATAAACAAGGCTAAATTTCAGTTCCTCAAATTTTATACTCCAAAGAATATACTTTTATTCCATTTCCTCCTAAGCTTCATCAAACTGAACTTCAAGCAGTCATTTGTTGTGGTTCTTTTGTGGATAGAGATAGGATTTTGTTCTTTCCAACCTGGTTCAAAACTTCTGAAATTCCTGAGCCGCACCCTCTAGTGTGACTAGACTTAAGGCCTCCTCTGGGACTGAAAGTGTGATTCCTGAGTTCTCAAGCCTCTACGATTTCATGGATGGAAGAGACTTCAGATGATCTCCACACCACACCTGCCTCCCTCGCGCCCCCTCCCCCCCCCACCCCCCGTTACAGAAGTGAAGAAGTAGAGGGAATGGTAGGCTCCTGGCTCAGCTGGGGCTGTATAGAAAAGCAGCCTCCATTGTGTTCTGCTGTCTTCACCATGCTTTGGTTCCACAGTCAAGACCACCCCTTGGAACTTCCCTGTTTTCTCTCATTCTCCCCACAGCCCCATCTAACCTTTAAGATGTGATGCCCACCTAGGAGTGGCCAGACTCTGCTCTGCCCGGCCCTCCAGCCTCCCCTGAGAGCTGATGCCAGCTCTGCCTCATGACCTCTGTCCTGCTGTAGCCCACGCTCTGGCACCACACCAAGGCATGTGGGACTTTATCTTCCCCACATGTGGGTGAGTTACACAGACACCATGCCGATGCCAGGAAGGCCCCCGGCAGACTCTCAGAGCACAGGGACAGCCAAGGCCAAGATGACAGCCAGTTCCCACACTCCCGTTGGGTCCCAGAGAGCCTACTCCACCCTCCTCACCTGATTGCCAGCAGTCCATTTCTGCTTACGGTACTGGGCTTGGCATCTAACCTCTCCTCCCTGGAAACTTGGATTACAGGTACACAGTTACCAATTAAATAAATGTAATATCTGATAAGGATTATTTTCTCCACTACAGACCAAAGAATTAGTTTGGGATCTGAGTCAATGAACAAGGAAATATGTTCATATAAACACTTATCCATTGAATTAAAGAAGAATTCATGGGGTTGGGGATTTATCTCAGTGGAAGAGCACTTGCCTGGCAAGTGCAAGGCCCTGAGTTCAATCTTCTGCTCTGGGAGGAAAAAAAAAGCTATTAAAAAAAAAAAAAAAAAAA